GGAGGTGGAGACGCGGGGGCTGCTCGAGCGGCGGCGTCCGCCTCAAAAGCGTCCCTCCAGTCCGAGAAGAGCCCGGCCCGGACCAGGCAAGCGAGCATCACCTAGACAGCACCACCTAGACACTACCGGGACACGCCCTCGACACTTCCGAGAAGAGCCCGCACGAGGCAAGGCGAGCATTACCGTGGTGGATCGGCCTCGCCTGCGGGGGACGTGTCGCGGACGTGTCGCGGACGTGTCGCGGACGTGTCGCGGACATGTCTCCGACGAGGGCCCCCGAGAGAGCCTCTTTGTGGTGAGAGGGGGGGAGGGGGGCGTCTCCCGGGGGCGAGAGGGAGAGGGGGGGGCGGGGAGAGGCGCCGCGCCCGTGCGCGCAGTGCACCATCACGTCCCCTTGGCCTGAGGGACGTGTCTCGGACATGTCATGGGGCGCGTCCCGCTCCGGCGCAGCAGTGCCACGGCTCGGCCTCGCCGCACGCTCGCGCCGCCAGCCGCGCCGCCTCCTCGATCTGCGCCTGGCGGTGCACGCGGGGCAGCCAGGCTGGAGGGGGCCACAGGGGCGGAGAGCGGCGCCGCAGATCGAGACGTCTCGGTGGTGTCTCGGAGGTGCCTCGGAGGTGTCTCGGAGGTGCGTCTCGGAGGTGTCTCGGAGTCTCACCGGCGTCGGAGGGACGCCGTCCCAGCAGGGGGTGAGGAGGTAGTTTGACGTGTTGCGGATCGACCCTTCCGGGAACTCGCACGTCAGGTCGATGGTGGCCGCCCACCTGGAGGAAGGGCTGCGGGCAGGGCTTGGACAGAGGTGCAGCTGCTGTCGGAGTGAGGTCGAGCGGCCGCCGCCACCGCCGCTCCGGCATCCTCCAGTGCGCGTACCGCCCTCCGATCCACCAGCCTGGAGCCACCTACAGGAGGGCTCGGAGACGCTCCTTCTCGATGGAGTCAGGCGCCTCCGCTCTCCGCCAGCGCGGCAGCCTCGGTCGCCACGGGCGTGCCGTGCGCCTCCGAGTGGAGGGTGTGGAAGTACGTGTACCTGTCCGTGCAACGCGGGCGGGGCTCGGTGCAAGTGGGGCTCGGGTGCGTGCAAGGCGCGTTCGGAGAGCACAGGTAGGTGAAGCTGTGGAAGGGCGCCCAGACGAGGTATGACCACCACGGAACGACCCCGGCGGCCCGCTGCTTGCCGAGGATGCCCATGCCCACCCGCGCCACGAAGAGGCCGGCAAACAGGCCGTGCGTCGCCGCCGAGTAGACGAGAAGCGACCGCAGAGGCATGATCCGCTCCCCGTCGGGGCCGGCGTGGTAGGCGCACACGCTGCAGAGCGCCGAGGCGGCGACGTATTTGAGGTGCACCTGCGGCGGAGCGAGTAAGTGTAATGTGGGGAGGTAAGAGAGTGGCCGCGTGCGACGCGGTGGCGGTGGCTCGCGCGCCCCGTGGACAGCGCCCATCCCTAGGCAGGCTGGGTCGGGGTCGGGGCGAGAGCGCGACGTATTTTCTCTTTGCGATGTATGTCTTTGCCTTCGATGTGAAAGGTAAAAAGCAAGGCGGACATGGCATATCGCTCTCGGTCACACGAATTTTCTCGCTTTTAAGTGAAGAACGACGAAACAAAAAAAAATCCTCGCCCTCCGCCCGCCCTTGCCTCCGCCCAGCCCTCCGCTCTCCGCTCTCGCCCTCCGCCCTTGCCCTGGCTGGCCTGGGTGGCATCTCCTCATCATCACGCGCCAAGTGGGAGGGAAGTGGACGGGGCCCTGAGCCGACCTAGCCCTAAACGGAATGGGGCGCCCAACACGTGCCGGATTACCGTGCCCCTTGCACGCCGGGCACGGCAGCCTTTCGGTTCGTGAAGGGTCGGTGCGTGTCGTGATCCCCTGGAACACCCGTACTCTCCCGCGCCATCTCCGTCGCCCTGTTCGGCTGCGGCTTTACCACCAAGATCGGGAGGCGGCCAGGGCTCATAGACTCGGTCGAGAGACCCCAGATTGGCATCCATGCCTCTCTGGACAGGGTGGCCCGCCACAACGACCCCTGGAATTGCGACTCGCCGCTTTCCTCCCGCTGTGATTCTGTGTGAGCTCTGTGTCTTGATTTGCCAACAATATACCTAGAACGCCACACAAGCTCACAAGCATCAAAACAATCGATCACAAGCTTTCACCATCCCACCGGTACCCTATCGCCGACGGGAGCCGGAACCCTGCAACGGCTCCGGTGGTGTGCCGGTGTGTGTTACCAGTCCGCGCCAGTCCGACAACGGCTGGCCAGGCCGGCATGGAGCCGGGCGGCGCGACAGGCGGCGCGACGCTCAAGGACCTCCGCTCGGAGGACAAGCTCAAGATCGGCAACCTTCTTCGCGAGCTTGCGCGCGCTCAGCGGGAGGGCCAGCAGGCGACGCGCGAGCGCAGCCAGATAGCTGCACGGCTGCAGGCGATGCGCTCGCAGAATGACCTCATCGTGCAGGCGTGCGCGCTCGCGGCCTCGGCCCACCGTGTGTAGTGCGGCAGCTCGCTCAGTTCCGCCCGCTCCCCTGTGCAGGAGGCCGCGGAGCTCCGCGGCAAGTTCCGCCACTCGCTCCAGCTGCTCAAGGCCTACCAGGAGCGCATCGGCCACAACGCGGAGCCGCCCCCAGCGGCCGAGAGCATCGCCGAGCCGCCAGGCGCTGGCGCTGCCGACGAGGTCATCTCCACCCTCCCCGCTCCACCCCTGGACCAGCCGCAGGGCCGCGAGGCACGGCCGCCGAATGCAGCCGGCACCTCAGAGAGGGCTGAACAGCTTGCACCAGCCGCGCCTCCGCTCGTCGCCCCAGCTCCCGCCGCCCCGCCGCCCTCCTCCTGCGCCCCGCCGCCCGCCGCCCCGCCGGTGCCGCCCTCGTCCGCCGCCCCACCCCACACCTCGGCAAGCGCCACCCCGCCGCCCGCCACCTCGGCCGGCCCCTTCGAGCAGCGGCAGCTGTGGCAGTGCGGCCCCGTCCCGGCAAGCAGAGCCGAGGCTTCCCACGGCGGGGCGACTCCCCTGCCACAGCCTCCCTCCTCCCTCCCCGAGCCCGCGCCGAGCCGCGCGCCGCTGCCGGCGCGGAGGCGGGGCGCGCAGCCGCCGCCGCCGCCGCTCCGGGCGGTTGGTCCGCGGGGCGGAGGGGAGGAGGGGCGGGAGGAGGGGCGGGAGGAGGGACAGCCTCTCGCCGACCTGCCGCGCCGGGCGCCTCCCCCCGCCCCGACAGCGGGAGGGGCGGTGGGGCTGCGGGCGGGCGCGGGGCTGTGGGGAGCGGGAGCGGAGCGGGCCAGGAATGGCGGTGACTGCCCCCCGCCAGATCGAGGCGCGCCAACAGGTCGAGGCGCGCCACCCGCAGAGGTGCGCGCCGCCGCCGCCGCCGCTGGGGCCATCGAGGCCGAGCGGGCTGCGGCTGCGGCTGCGGCTCCAGCCTGCCCCGCGCCTCGCCTCGCCTCGCGGCGGCCCGCGAGCCGGCCCGGCCGCGGGCGCCTCGAGGGGGCGCACGTCGTGAGCGGCTGCGCGGCGGCCGACGCCGCCAAGCTCGTCGACCTCATCAGCGACCTCGAGCTCGATTGCGGCGGGGCCCGCGGGGCGGGCTACCAGCGCGCGGCCCTGGCGCCGCTGAACCTGACGGCGTTGTCGTCGCGAGCCATCACGCCGCAGCGTTTGCGCCTTCCGCAGCCGCACCAACTGCTGCCACCGCCCCGGCTGCCGCCGCCTCGCCGCAAACTTCGCTAGCGAGCATAGGGTCAGCTGGCAGGCCCGCTGCCGCGCTGGGATCTGCACCCGGCCATTCCACGAACGGCCAGGCCGCTTAGCTGATTGGCTAGACTAGCGGCATACCTCCATCTTGACACAGTCTGGGAACGTGCGAGAGAGATTTTTGAGATATGAGAAGATTCCGCGCTCCCGCCTTACAGTAAAAAGAAATTTCGTGTCGCCACCCTAACCTCACCTGCGCTCGGCGCGATCTCGTAAGGCCGCGAACAAACACAGTTATCAAACACACTTCTGCCCGCGAAATCAATTTCTCGCGCTCTGTGCCGTCTGCCGAGTGTCTCAGCAACTCAGGTGCTTGGTTTGGGTCCCAAAAGCCAAATCAGCCAAATCGGCAAAATAGTAAATACCGGTGTATTTTGCGGATATGAGACTGATGATGCTCCTTCGACTTAGGGAGCGGTTCAGATGCTGGGCGGGCTTCAGGCTGGTGCTCACGCGAACAGGAATCGACGCGATGTGCAAAGCATACAAGAAGGGGAGAGGGAAGAGGAGAGACGCCGGTGAGGACGAAGCAGAAACTAGCGCAGACGAGAGCAGGGCAGACCCGGGGACTGGGGAGCCGGAGCAGACGGCATCGGCCGCCGAGGGAACGTTGGGAAGAGGACGAGGAGGGCGGCGACTTCGACCGACTATGGAGGACCCGTCGCCAGACGACGCAGGGCAGAAGACGGTGAGGCGGAGCAGACGCGCAGGGTGAGACGAGGGAGGGAGCAGGACTTTGCGGAGATCAGCAGGAGGATGTACGAAGAGATTAGGAGCAGCAGGGACCCGAGGGACCATGTGGAAGACGGCTAGTGCTAGTCCCCCATCGGGAGGACGACCCCGGCTAGTCGCCGACCACACCCACAAAGAACCCTGCACAAAGATCGCAAGGGCGGGGGCCTGTTCCTTTTTACCCATCTCACAGTAGAGAGGTGTCCGTTTTTATTTATTTATTTATTGCGGATATGTATGTAACTGTAGAAAGATTTAGGTTTGGGGCAGAGCGAGTGGGAGAACTTTTCGGCGGTCGTGGAGGTCGTGGAGGTCGTGTGGAGTGGCGAGTCACGCTCGTGCGGACAGCATCGACACCTGGAAATACATAGCTGGAAAATACCCGCGTAGTTTGCCGGTTTCCTCGGTTTCGCCTCAGATTTTGCTCCAAACCAGCTCTCAGGGAAACTCGAGAGAGAGTTGCCAGAATGGGGAGCAGAATGGAGCACCAAACACCCTCTGGTTTCCCTGGAAACTTCCGGAAACTCAAAGTGCTGGCTGGGGGGACCCTCTGGTCTCCACAACTCCATCGAGCACCGCCCCCTCGGCTCGTGTTTGAGCGGTATACGCTCGAGGCGGTTGTGTTCACCGCGCCTTCGAGCCCAATACACCTTCGTGCTGTCGAGTGCTGGCGTTTTACTAAAGACCTGTGACCATCTGAGTCTATCTTGTTACTACCACACGCATAGCTCAAGGTCATAGGGTATAGTGCGCCACTCACTCGGGCGTCTCGCTGACGTTGATCGATCAGCGCTGATCTCCCTAGCCTATCGGCCACCCGCTCGATCCTCGGATCGCTCGCTCGTCGCAAATCGATCGACTGAGCTGTCAGCAAGGCGCTGCCTTTTCTTTTTTCGAAAACGCGCGCGCGCCCGTCGCCCGGCAAAACTGTCAGGTCCGCCGCGACGCGTCGCCGCAATGGCGGGCAGCGACGTGGTGCAAGCCATGCGGCTCGCCCTGGACTGCCCCGCACAGCCCGGTTGGCAGTAGGAGGCCCCGCCGGGGAGACCACTGATTTTGATGCCGACCATAAATTCTCGCAACTCGAACGCATGCTACTTACAGCTGCTGTCTGTACAGAGATGCCAGCACCCCCCAGCAGCAGAGCGCTGCTGCTGGGGGGGGGGTCCCGACCCCCCCAGCAGCAGAGCGCACTGGACCCAGCTCCCGCCTCCCGCCGCCCCCCCTCCCGCCCCCTCGGCTGTCGGCTCGTGTTTGAGCGGTATACGCTCGAGGCGGTTGTGTTCACCGCGCCTTCGAGCCCAATACACCTTCGTGCTGTCGAGTGCTGGCGTTTTACTAAAGACCTGTGACCATCTGAGTCTATCTTGTTACTACCACACGCATAGCTCAAGGTCATAGGGTATAGTGAGCCACTCACTCGGGCGTCTCGCTGACGTTGATCGATCAGCGCTGATCTCCCTAGCCTATCGGCCACCCGCTCGATCCTCGGATCGCTCGCTCGTCGCAAATCGATCGACTGAGCTGTCAGCAAGGCGCTGCCTTTTCTTTTTTCGAAAACGCGCGCGCGCCCGTCGCCCGGCAAAACTGTCAGGTCCGCCGCGACGCGTCGCCGCAATGGCGGGCAGCGACGTGGTGCAAGCCATGCGGCTCGCCCTGGACTGCCCCGCACAGCCCGGTTGGCAGTAGGAGGCCCCGCCGGGGAGACCACTGATTTTGATGCCGACCATAAATTCTCGCAACTCGAACGCATGCTACTTACAGCTGCTGTCTGTACAGAGAGGCCAGCACCCCCCAGCAGCAGAGCGCTGCTGCTGGGGGGGGGGTCCCGACCCCCCCAGCAGCAGAGCGCTGCTGCTGGGGGGGGGGTCCCGCCCCCCCCAGCAGCAGAGCGCTCCTGCTGGGGGGGGGGTCGGCCCATGGGCTTAGGTGTGCAGGGGGGGTACCGAAGCCAGTGTGCGGCCGCTCCTAAATTTAGACCCAAGCGCCCTTCGTCCTTCGATAATATCTCGTGTGTCTCGCGCGGGTGTGTGTGGTGACTGGTGTGCTTGTGTCATGTGTGCGTTGTGTGTGCTTGTGGCTCGACCTCGAGCTCGATCGAGCACTCGAGACACGAGAGCACACGTCTCGGCCTCAGGCGGAGTTGGGGTTTTATAGGTAAGGTAAGGTAAGGTAAACTTCTCCACACACACGAGGTGGTGGGGCAAGGGGGGGCAACCCTCGCGTCTCCACGTCTGACGACAGGAGTAGTGGGGGAAATGGTGATTTTTGAATGAACGCCTCGCGCAAAACCACCGCTACCATGCCAAAGAAGACCCTTGTGGGCTATCCAGAACACCTAAGATCATGCCCTAGCTCTAAAGTGGGCCCGAGATACGCCAGCTAAACCCCGGATTTTTTCCGGCAGCGGGGGCCACACATGGCCGGTACCCAAGCGGGTCGCACGGAGACACGGGAAGGCTGCCGCAAGCCGCCTCCGGGTGCAGGGGCCCGGCGCGGTGGGCGGGGGCAACGACCCGGTAGCTGGCCGCGCCTCTCCCCCCCGCCCGTCGCCGCTGCACCCCTTGCCGCGGCCCTCGTCGCTGCTGTAGCGACAACAGCCGCGGCACGAGGTCAGAACGCGGCCTCGGAGAGCTCGAGCGAAGGCGCCGACGGTGGCAGCCGTGGTAGTGGTTTATGGTAGAAGGATCCTGAGCCGTCGGGCACCACGCTCGACGTCGCCGATCAGCCGCACCTGTCGCGAGCGCCTGCGCGTCGGGCGCTGCCGGCTCGACCTCCATTTCCGGCGAGGTGTCGGGCGCGGCGGGCGGCTCCGGCGCCTCGGTGGCGACCGTGGGCTCGGTGGTCGCCTTGGGCTGCCTGTGGATGTTGTCGTTGGCTGATTTCTTATGCTTCTTGCCCGTTCGGCCGAGGCCTTTGTTGCGAGGCATCTCGGTACACGCGACGGCAGCACGACGTACGCGACGAGGACGGCTCCTTGATGGCGACCTGCAGCAGGACGGTGCGCATGTTAAGAGCGTGGTAGCGGACGCATCGGGCCTAGCCCGGGGCCGTGGCGTGTACCGAGAGGCTGGTCTACCGAACACTTTTGGTGCACACCTGCCCAGAAGAGCGGCAGGGAAAAATTTTCTTCGCAGCCTGAGCCATTTCCCCCACTAACAGGAGCCCCACGGCATTCAAAGTGCAAGGCCCAGTGCGCGTGGGTGAGCGGTGGGTTTTATAGGAGATTGTACGCCACACAGCTCAGATATAGAGACAGGCACAGGGGAGACGGCGAGACGGGCGGAGATACTCGCACTACGGCGTACTCGGTTCGTACTGCGGCTCTCTGACTACATGGCTATTACGCGCGGTCCGCCTCACTGCTCACATGGCGACTTTCAATTCATGAAATTGCATGCCTCGCCGAGTTGGGGGCTGGGCAGGTGACGGGCGACAATTTTGCGCCGCCGGCATCGAACCCTCCCTGCCTACCCCAGCGACGTTGCCGACGCTCTGGATATCTGGAGCGAGTCGGCTACAGGCCGAAGCCCGGCACAATTTTGGTGCGGCTCATTCATGGTTGACGGGCGCGGGCGCATGTGGCCCTCGGCGCCCGCGCCCGAAAGCACGGCTCACTTCATCGGCGTCATTTGGGGGCCTTGAGGTTGGAGATGTCGCCCATCGCCTCAGCTGCGGCCTCGAGCTTGGCCGCCTCCGCCTCGAGCTTGGCTGCCTCCGCCTCGAGGGCCATCGCCTTGAGCTCCGCGTCTGAAGGCGCAGCGGCCGCCTCCTCCTCCTCCGCGGCTGGCTCCGCCTGTGCCTCAGCCACCTCCTCGACAGCGTCGGCCGCCGCCGCCGCCTCGCCAACCGCCGCGTCCTCGCCCTCGTCCTCCTCCCTCGCGGCCGCAACAGCTGCCGCTTCTGTTGGTGCGGCGGCGGTGACAGCGGCAAACGGCTCTGCGCCTTGCTCCGACCTCGCCGGTGGTGGTGCCGGTGCCGTCAACCCGCCGTCTGAGCCCCCCCCCCCTCCTCCGAGAAGCTCCTCGTACAGCTGCGCCGCCTCGTCCACACCCTGCTCCTCTCCTCCCGACACGGCTTTGAAGCCTGCAAAACCGGCGGCGGCGACGACCGCGGCGCCGGCTGCGATTGGAGCAACCCGAGCCGCGACTGCAGCAGCCTCTGCCACGGCGTCGCCGCCACCAGACTCGGCCGGCGGCTGCGCGGGCTTGGTGGCGGGCGCGAGTGCGCCGAAGAGCTGCAGAGTGGACGGCGCCTCTGCGGACTCGGGCGGGGCGGCGGCTTTCGGCGGCGCGACCGCCACGGGCGCGGCTGCCGGGGCGCTGTCGGAAGGCGACCGCTCGGCCGCGACGGGCGGCGGCGTCTCCTCGGCAGCCTTCTGCGGGGCGGCCTTCTCGGCCGGGGCCGCCGCCTTGTCCGCCCTTGGCGCCGCGGTTCGGGGCGGCGGGCGGGCGGGGAGCTCGAGCTTTGGCGGCACGTACCGTTCGATCTTTGGCGTGGGCGTGGGGCCGGGGATGTACGGCGTCGCCTGCCAGGGTCGGGTGTGCGCGTCAGGGCGCGGCGGCGGCTGGCACGCGGCGGCTGGCAAGGGCGGGGGGCGCACCTCTCCGCGATTGGAGGCGATCTCCCGCTTGAGGGCACCGATCTGCTGCTTGCCTGTCCGAGCAGCGCGGGGCTGGGGACCCGGGGGGGGGGGCATGGAGGGGGGGCATGGCTCGGCGATGGCTCGGCGAGCGGCGGGCGGGAGCTCACCGATGCCCCTCGCGCGGGCGAGCCGCGTCTGCGCGCGCTGCTGCGTCTCCTCCGCCTCGGCCAGCGCCGCCTTGGCCTTCTTCCAGCGGTCCGGCGCCGCGCCGAGCTCGCTCGCCTTGTTCGCGGCGCCGTCGGCGCGCGAGCTCGCCTCCTGCGCCTTGACGGCCGCCTCCCGCGCCCGCTGGAGCAGCTGCGACGAGTCGGTGTACCACTCTGCGCCGCCTAGTCGTCACACCCGACCAGGCGCTCGCCGGACAGCGCGAGCGACGCGGCGGCGCTTCTCCCGCCGCGCGCCGCTCTTGACGAAACGAGCAGCCTCGTCCGCCGCGGCGTTCGCGGCGGAGGCGGCCTTGTTTGCCGCCTCGAGCGCGCCCGCCGACGCGGAGAGCCGCTCCGCGAGCGCCTCGTCGGCCTGGTTTGCCGCAGCGCGCGCCTCTTGGAACTCGGGCAGTGTCGAGGGCGCGACCTTGCCGTCGACGATGGAGCGCTCCGCCACGGCGGAGAGGCGGCCTGTGGTGTGAACAAGTCGGGGTGTGAACACAAGGAGTAGTCGATGTGCAGGGTACTCTGGAGCGACTACTGGCGGGAGCAGAGAGGTTAGTCTCTCTCCGCCTCTCTGGCGCGTCCGCCTGTGGCCTCCTCGAGCACGCGGCATCCTCCTCTAACCCTAACCCTAACCCTAACCCTAACCCTAACCCTAACCCTAACCCTAACCCTAGCCCTAGCCCTAGCCCTAGCCCTAACCTGCGGCCTCCTCGAGCACGCGGCACTCCTCCTCGATGCCTAGTTCATCCGCAAGAGCCGACTCAGAGCCGCCATCAGCAGAGCAGCTCGCCGCGCCCCTCCCCCCTCGACGCCTCCCGCCGCAGCCTCGTTCGACGCGGCCGCAGCCTCCAGCAGCGCCGCCGCCCTCGCGCCCGAGGCCGACGCCTTCCGAAGCGCCACCTGCGGAGAGGGTCGAGTGCGTGTCAGCTCTCATCCCATGACAACAGCTCCGTCTCGCCTCTGCGCCCGCCTGCCGCGCGAGCATCGAGCGCGAGCGCACGAGCGCCTCTTCCGCCGACTCAAAGTCCGCCATCACCTCCTTCGCCTTGGCGCCTATCCATCCCTCGCCCCTCCCTCACCGCCCACCCCTCCCCCTCCGCTCCGCTCCCCTCCCCCCGCCGCGCGCCCGCGGCAAGCTTCTCCGGCGTCGCGAGCGCCTCATCGTACCTGCAGCGAAGCTCCGAGAAGCTTCACAGGAAGGCTCCGCAGCTTCTCTCATGCGCCGCGACCGCCTCGCCGCACCCCTTCTCCGCCCGCTCCAGCGCCGCGGTGATGTCGCCCTCCAGCGCGGCCGCAGCGCGCGCCGACTCGGACCGCCACTCGCGGACTGCGCCTGCGGGGCATGCCGGTGGACGTGTCATGGACGTGTCCCTGCACCCGCCCTCCTCCGCCACTCGCGGACTGCGCCTGCGGGGCATGCCACTGGACGTGTCATGGACGTGTCCCTGCACCCGCCCTCCTCCGCCCCTCGCGCGCCGAGCGCGTCGCGGTACGACTCGCCCGCCTAATTAATAATTAATAATAAGCATCAATCATTAATCATTAAGAGCGTCGCGGTACGACTCGCCCGCCGCGCGGAGCTGCTTCGACGCGGCGGTGGCGGCGGCAACCTCGGACGAGTCCACCTTTTGGAGGGCGGGCGGGGATGACGTGGAGTGGACGCGTCTGCTAAAAGCGGCGTCTGGGGAGGCGTGGTCTGCACTCCTCAATCTCGGCCATATCTCGGCCACATCTCGGCTATCTCGCGGCCATCTCTCGCTGTGGTGCACCTTCCGCCCCTCCTCAATCTCTGCGAAGGCGCGCTTGATGGCGCGCTCCTCCCGCTCGACGAGCTGCGGACGGCGGCGGCGGGTGGTGGGACGCGGGGGAGGCGGGGCGGGCTTGCCAAGGAGCGGGCTGTGGCGGAGGCGGAGGCGGAGGCGGAGGCGGAGGCGGTGGCGGTGGCGGTGGCGGAGGCGGAGGCGGAGGCGGAGGCGGTGGCGGCGAGAGAGCCTGCTCCACTGTCCCCATGTCCGAGGCGCCCCTCTTGGCGGAAGAGACCTGCGCCTGCGCCGCGATCTCGTCGTAGGTGGGCAGCCTGTCGGACAAGACCTGCGCGCGGAGGCGGCGCGGTGCGGGTCGGGCGGAGGGCGTGTCAAGACGACCTCCCACGCCGTGCGCTGAGGCCTGTGAGCCGGCGACAGAGACGAGGGCGACGAGCACGCCGAGGCGGAGGAGCGAGCCGGGGACGGTGGGCAGGCGCGGACGGAGGTCTGAGAGGCCCTGCTTCGCCCGGTCTGCGAGCGCCGGCAGACCCGCGGGCGCGGCAGGCGTCGGCTCCACCGTGAGAAGAGCGGTTACGTTTACGACGCCGCGCTCCTCTAGGCGGAGAGCGAGCTGTGCGGCGAGGCCGGTCGGCGTCAGGTCGACCTCGGGGAGCTTGAATGCCGTCGCGCTCTTGCTCGCAGCGAGCGACTTCTTCTTTGCGACAACCGGCCGCTTCGTGCCATCTCGCGCACGGATGGTCTCTCGCCGGACGGCGACCTGCTGCCACAGGCCGGCCCCGCGAGCCGGCGCCGCGGCGGTGGCCCTTTTCCGAGGCGCCATCCGTGGGCTCGCAAGCCGACTCCCGCGATGCGCGATCGGCCCGCGCAGCGCCGCGCCGACGGCGGCGAGGGTGAAAAGCCAGCAAAGTCTCATGAGATTGGAGCCGGAAAGCTTGTCATCACCGCGTAGAATATTACTGTTTTCGCGGCGTGCCGTCCTCCCATCCCTCCCTTGGATTATATGGTTTCTTTCTTTCTTTCTGTGTACGCCTCCCCGTGTTTGTAGCCCGGCGTGTGTGCCCCGTTTGTGCCGCGTCCCGTGCCCCCGAGTTCATTTTAAGTTTGCGGCGGTCCTATTCCCAGCTCGCGGGGCCAGTTCCTTTACCGGAAGAAAAACGGAAGAAAAACCGTGCGAGGCAGCTTCAGCGGCGATCGGGTTTTGCGCCGACCTGCTTCGCCCTTATGCCCGCGGCGTCTACCCCTCCGGCCGTACCGAGGCCGCCAGCCGAGTACGTTCTGCGTGCTCGGGAGGCGGCGCTCGACTGGAGCAACGCGGCGCCCACGGGAGAGGCGGGCCCCTCCTCGGCGGCGGTGCCATCGCTGAGGCGGCTGAGAACGAAGTCGAGCGTATCGGGGCGACAGGGCGAAGGCCCGGCCGACGCACATGGCGGCGACAGACCCGTCGTCGCACGCGTGGAGCTCATCCACTCGTGCGATGACGGGTCTGTCGTCACCATGTGCGTCAGCTGCCCCGACGTGCCGGCGCAGGCCTGCCGCTCTTTCAACCAGGACGCGCGGGCCACCGTCGCCGCGCTCCTCCGCGGCGAGCACGCGAGCTGCCCCGGTCGGCGGTACACCGGCCGGGAGCTTGCCGCGTGGGTGCTGACCGAGGAGCAAATTTCCAAGCTCAGGCTCGGCGACCTGCTCGGCCGGCGGGATGAGTCGGCCGCGGCGGTGCTCTCCGCCTTTGTCGCGGCGCTCGACCTGCGAGCGCTGCGGCTCGACGACGCGCTCCGCTTCTTCCTCTCCCTCTTCCGCCTCCCGGGCGAGGCGCAGATGATCGGTCGCATCATGGAGGCCTTCGCGGCGCGGTACGCCACGCAGCACGCGGACACCCCGCTCGGCTCGGCCGACACGGTCTACGTGCTCTCCTACGCGCTCATCATGCTCAACGTGGACGCGCACAGCGCGGCGGTGACGCACAAGATGACGCAGCACCAGTTCGCCGCCGGGCTGCGCGGGGTCGACGGCGGCGCCGACCTCCCCGCGCCGCTGCTCGCCGAGCTGTACGCCTCGATCTGCGGGCGCGAGATCGTGATGGAGCAGCGCGAGTACATCTCGAGCAAGGTGGAGGGCTGGCTGTGCAAGCGCGGCGGCCGCGTGCCCTCCTGGAAGCGGCGCTACTTCATCCTGAGCGGCTCGTGCCTCTACTACTTCACCTCGCCAAAGGACGCCGCACCGCTCGGCATCGTCCCGCTCGAGGGCGTCGAGGTGCGGCCGACCTCGCGCAGCCAGGCCAGCTTCGAGGTGCGCCCAGCGGCGCTGCCGGGCGCGCAGGCCGGCCCGAGGCACGTGCGGTCGGTGCGCGCCTCCTCGTACCGGCCGGGTGGCGCGCTGGTCGAGCAGGGCCACCACGCCTCCTTCCGCTTCCGGGCCGCGTCCGCCGCCGAGCGGCAGCGGTGGGTCGACGCCATCCGCGAGCACTCGGTCGGCGACCCGATGGCGGGCGTGCGGGCGACCCTCTCGCGGCACAAGTCGGGCCGGTGGGCAGCCTCCTCGGGTGAGAAGGTGGCGGCGCCGCCCGCCCGCGCCGTGGTCTGACGAGTCCATCATTTGATTCTGTGTGTGTCGTGTGTCGTGCCCCTCTGTACGCTGTACGCCGTGTATACGATGTTACGTTTACGGGTCTGTGTACGGTCGGCCCGGGCCCCAGACCCCCAGTACGCAGTAGTCAGATTTTGATTCGTCCTCGCTCGGTGTCCTCGTGTTCGGCTTCTCCGGGACCAGAACTTCTCGCCCTTTCGCCTTTGGTCACACCGATCTGCATTCGGAGATCGGACCCCGCGCCTCACCTACGCTAGAGAGTAAGCAGTAAGCTCCTTCGTGGCGCCCTGCAGCCACTGCGCGCGGTGCGCGCCCCCCAGGCCCTGCGCCGTCAGCTCCGAGCTGCCGCCCCCCGTCGCCATCGCCATTCGCGGCGGAGGGAGCGCAGCCCCCCACACAAAGACTCTGTGAGGCCAGCGTTCTTACATCTTAGCACAACACATGGAGTTCTTTTTGCCCGCGCGGTTTCTTTCTTTTTCTCGGGCGGTCTGCACCTGCGTAAGCAGATGGCCGCTTCGCTGGCTGCCCACAAGCGGTCTCGGCCCGGCGGTCGCTGCCAATGCCTCTTGGGCAATGCCTCGCTCCGGCCCCCCTTGCCCCTCTCCCTTCGGCGGCTCCCTTCAATGTATCGCGCAGGCTGCTCTGCGTGCTGCGCTTGCCATCGCGTCGCGTTTTTTCGTTCTCACAGCGAGACCAACAACAACACTCTCTCTCTCAAAACAAACACAACACGCCAACAAAAACAACCCCATCGCAAGCATCCTGCTGCGTCAGCTTCAGCCTTCTTTCACCGCCACAACGCTCATCCACTCGCACTGGGCCTCTTGAACTTTCAATGGAATGCTCCTGTCTCTACACAACTTCACCTTCTTCACGAGGAGGGTGCGCGGCGAACCAGTTTAGACCAGTTTACTGCACTCCAAGTGCTCCAAGTTTAGACCACTGCTAAACACGAACCAGATTTTAATCCTGTTTACGATAAACTGGGTCTAAACCTGGTGTGTCTAATGGGTTCCCCCCCACCCCCCCGCGCGAGGCAGCGCGCACCTCCCCGCCCAGCTCCCCTGCTCTGTGACGAGAGAGGCCGTGTGGGAGAGAGAGAGAGATTTTTAGCAATACCAAGAGGATGGGAGCACGGACTGGTTCCCCGCCACCATCGTCGCCCATTGGCCGACCAATAGCGAGCACGACACCGGCTGCTGATGCACTTCGACGACCGGCATGGACGAGGTCATCAGACACGCTGCCCGACACCGTGCGCCTGTCCGGCCCGAGGCAGAGGATGGCGGCTGCACGCTGCCGCTTCCGCAGCCAGCGCGGCCGCGGCGGCGGAGCTAGCGCGAGGGGCTAGGTAGGGGCGCCCCTAGGGCCTAGGGGCGCCCTAAACCGGGTCTAAACCTGGTATGTCTAATGACTAATGAATGGGGTCCCCCACCCAGGCCGACCCCTGTTTAGACCCAGTTGGTCGAAACTGGGTCTAATACAAACATGGTCTAAACTAGGTAGGTAGGTAGAAAGGTGAAGAACAGCCAGGCTCGGACTGGACACCAACGCGGTATGGGTGGACGCAGGACAGATGATGACGACACGCACGAACGACACACAGACACAAACAAGCTCACAAGACACACAGCCAGCTGGCTGCCACACACCCTGGGTTGGCGTACACATAACTCAGGGCCACATTCTTCCTGTCGCCCCCCCCAGCACTCCAAGGTGCCAAGAGAAACAAACAAGGGCACAAACAAACAACAGACGACAGGAAGTGACGTGCGAGGCTAGAGCAGGCTTGCTCTACCTCTAGCAATCTCGCCGGCCGGCGAGGCACGGACGAGACCGTGCGTGGGGTCATGTGAGGTGTCTCTGGTCACTCTCCTCAGGGGCTAGCCGCCAGCGGCCAGCCCTATCTCGCACTCACAGGCAATGACAATCCAATGTATGAGTGTATGCAAGCAGAGGCACGTGTGCTAATTCTAGGCCGCACGTCGTGGCACCATAGATGGGCCCAGGTAGGAGGCTCCACGCCACCTGAATCGCGTCGTGCCACCTGAAAGCCACAAAATGCCGGATTTTGCACGAGACACACGCGGAAAGCGCCACGTGCCTCCACGAGTCCTTTGCAGCTTTTTGCACAAAATGCAGGTGGCTTTAGCCACTTGCTCCATGAGCAAAACAGTGCAAAAAGCACCTGGAGCAGATGGCTTACGCCGCCTGTGGACAAGGACAAAACAGTGCAAAAAGCACCTGGAGCAGATGGCTTACGCCGCCTGTGGACATGGGCAAAACAGTGCAAAAAGCACCTGGAGCAGATGGCTTACGCCGCCTGTGGCCATGGGCAAACAGTGCAAAAAGCACCTGGAGCAGATTCCAAACGCCGCCTGTGGCCATGTGACCGCTCGGGTGGCGCCAGGTGGCTTCGCCCCCCTCCAAGCCACCTGCCCCCCTCGCCACACCTGCCTGGAGGGCTGGAGCACGTGCGCCACCTGGGCCCGGGCAGGTGGCTCCAGGTGGCTTCGGCCCCTCTAAGCCACCTGCATGCCCCCCCTCGCCACACCTGGAGGGCTGGAGCACGTGCGCCACCTGGGCGTCACTTCGGGAATTTCATCGTGCGTGTTCTTATGAATAGGAATGTACTATACACCGCCTCGGCACCACGAGCCGCCCCCGCCGCGCCTCCACAATCCACTCTCGCAACTCTACCGCGCAGCCAGCACACGACGTCGACGAGGCCGACAAAGCTCTGCATGGCCTGGTTTATCGGGGATCGAGTGATGGCGTATTATCGGGCAGTCTTCTCATTGGCGAGTCAGACTGCTCAGCGTCGGCAGCAACGGCGCGTGAGCAGCGCAGCCACCGGCTCCTGCGGCGTTTGCAGCCACACCAAACGCCCGCGCGGGCCGGGTTGAAGCCCCAGGCTTATGTCGACGCCGGACATTGATTGTAGCCGCCGATGACCGCCGCAGGCCCTCTTTCACACACCCCACAGTCCCAGTTTGCAGCGCGGGGAGGAGCGGGGAGGCTCGCGTTTGGCAGGCCAGCCCTTCCGTGGCTCGGATTTTCCGTTTCCGAATTCAAACTTGCGCCAGGTGGCGCACGTGCTCCGGCCCTCCAGGTGTGGCGAGGGGGGGCATGCAGGTGGCTTGGAGGGGCCGAAGCCACCTGGCGCCACCTGCCCACCCATCAGGCCCAGGTGGCGCACGTGCTCCAGCCCTCCACGTGTGGCGAGGGGGGCGGGGCAGGTGGCTTGGAGGGGTCGAAGCCACCTGGAGCCACCTGCCCAGGCCCAGGTGGCGCACGTGCTCCAGCCCTCCTCGTGTGGCGAGGGAGGGGGGGCAGGTGGCTTGGAGGGGGCTGAAGCCACCTGTTGCCACCTGCCCAGGCCCAGGTGGCGCACGTGCTCCAGCCCTCCACGT